TTTCTTTATCAGCAGTAAAATAGCTCTATGATTAAATTAATCTGTGGCCAAGGTTCAGAAATTGTTTATGGAGTTAAAGTTCATAAAAAATGATTTTATATTATAATGGACTGTGGCACAGATACAGTAAGGCTGATAGGAGTGTAGTCAGTAGAGCTACATGCCAAGGCTGAAGCGACAGTGAGCTCCTAATCGGGCCGAGCCAAGGCCTCCCTCGCTGATCACAACACAGCTCGGTCTGATAAGCATCTTGCGCAATACATAGACGCAAGTGTACACACATGCGCACGCACACACACACACACACACACACACACACACACACACACACACGCGTGTTCTCTCCCTCCTTCCAATTCCTTTGAAAGCGGCGGATGATTTCGACATCATTAACAACAACCATGGGGTGGGAAAGATTGGCAGCCGGAGTATGTGGCTCGAGCTGGATATCAGGTCTAACATGTAACAGATACACACAAACACACACGAATCTGAAACATGTACAGTAAACTTGACTTAACACACATAAAATGCACTTGTACACACATTGTGCGCTTGTGTTATTGTGTGCCAGATGAACTAACTGGATAAATAACTCTTTCTAAATGCATGGCTGGCCTTTTCCAGGCCTTTCACTTCCATAAAGGATATCTGACTTGATATATAACCATACATCAAAAATCGGTCTGCTGAGAACACACACCCACACATATCAGGGTTCTCACTTCCCTCTTGCTCTTTGCAAACAGTGATTTATGCTGAGCGGGGATATCCAAGTGACGCCACTATCAGGCATCAGAGAGTAAATAAGAAGTCACTTTCTGCTTTATCACCATCAGATGATATACAGTAACCGAACACGTCGGCACATAGACACACACAGCTACAGATTTATAATACCGTACATTTGTTTAAAGCACAGACATCCTTTGATTTACGTTTGTACCTGTGATCCTGGAATGCGGGACGGATACTGTACAATAACCGTTATGACTTACTGCCCTTGACAGCAGGTACACTGCCTTTCATGTCGGCGCATAAATCAGGGAAGTGGGAGGATAAGCGCTTGTTGTATACTGTACATGTTGGCAAGACATTCCAGAGCAGCTCGAGGTCTCCCATCCTGGTAATAGCAGACACGTGACTGGAAGTGCACTAACACCATGCAATCTAGCTTCAACACACACATGGACATCAACAACATCCTTACGAGGAGAGAGGATCTATGTCTTTACCCTTACCCTACCACCAAGGGTTTATGCTTTCAGATTTTGATCTTAAACCTTTGCAAATGTTTATCATTTAAACCCTTTTGGGCAATATATTATCATTGTTTTCCAGTTTTCTGTGAACTATTTTTCTACATAGTATTTTCTATGTCGTTGTTATCTTTTTGATGATTTATGTAAATTATGTATTGCATTTAAGTGAATCTATGTGATGTATTAGATTTAAAGGCACAGTGTGTAGGACTGAGTGGCCTCTGACAGTGAGAATTGCAGATTGCAACCAGCTGAAACTTCTCTGATGTGCCCAGCATGATGTCCTGGTTAGAATTCCTTCAGCGTTCATTATTCAGGAGGTTTTTACTGTGAGCTGAATTATCCGCAGAGGTCTCTTCCTTTCCAAAACAAACAGACTAGGTGATTAAAACTGGTAAAACACAGAATAAAGCAGTTTCATGTTACAAATTGGTGTTTCTTCGATGCTGTTTGACTCCTCGCAGACAGGCTGCTAGCCCAGCACCTGCTAAGGTGTGCACAGCTTTTTTTCTCTGGGAACTTAAGATTCAGACATTCAGGATGTTTTTACTGGGAGCCAAATTATCTGCAGATGTCTCTTGCTCTCCAAAACAAACAGACCCAGTGATTTAAACCAGTAATAACACTGAACCAAGCTGCATTTGATGAGAAGTTATATGTGAGAATGTTTTGGTTCTAGAATAATATATTTGACATATTTTTTGTGTTTCTGCTCTTTCTATAGAGATCTTGTTTTGTGCCTTGTATGGGAGTATCAGACAGCTCTGCTCTGATTGGTCAAGTCTGAGAGTAGATTGACTTAAATTATAACCACCTGAGTGATGAACGTGTATATATAGATGTATTTAGCTCTGCTTTGTGATGATTTATTTAAAAATGGCTGAAGAGGATCCACAAAGATCGAAACATTAGTGCAGTGTGCAGATCCTTTCCCCGACCACTGCACATGCACAACACATATGTTGCCACAGGAAGACACACACACACACACACACACACACACACATATATGTAACCTTGTTTGCTGGTGTGAAATCCAGGGATTGTGGCAGGGTTCAGAGTTCTAAGAACACCAGCAACACACAGCGAGTCTGCCAGAGGAACCACAGAGTGCGAGACACACACACGCACAGAAACATACACACGCCATGGCAGCGCTGTCAGTGAGTCAGTGTGTGAGTCACACTCCGGCTATGCTGCCTCTCGATTTTATAACAGCCGCCAGCACGGCACTGTATTTAATATTCCAAACAACTGTACTGCAGGACTCTGTGGCACACATGCACATATATTAACATCAGCATATACTGTACTTGTATACATTCACACACACACTGTGTTTCCTCCGGCCAAATACTCCTGCACAAACTAGATTTAGGAGTCACTCACACATAAACAGCCAGCACACTTTCATGTCTTTTCCTCCTTGATTCAAACCCACACAGATGCAGGCTCGTAATTGGGGATGACTGCAGATGAGTCAGAGGGAGAGGGAGAGTGGAGGGAATCCTTACCTCTTTGTGAGCCAGATCTATAGGAGAGCCAATGATAGGATTCTGCACCGCGGATACTGACTCCATTAGGTCTGACCTATGAATCACCCCTCTATACATTCTCACAGGAGGCTGTTCACAGCTTAAAGTGGGAGAAAATATGGGAAGGTGTGTAGCTGAAATTACATGTCCAGACATGTCTTTATATCCGTGTCAGATTCTGAGGTGGAATATGGAATTCCCACCTGTTTCCCAGTGCTAAACTGGCAAAGCAGACACAAAACATTGGCTCCTTCTAGCACTGATATGTGGATTTTATATGGATCAAAAGGACTTGCATGTGGTGCTAGAATCAACCCAGGCTTTGTCAGTTTACATTTGTGATTGTTTGCAAAAAACTGCACTCTCATAAGGGTGGAGGCCAAAATGACTCAGGCATTCAGTCAAGTTTTAAGTGCTTAAAATACATATCCGGATGTTTTTGTGTCGCAGTTCAAAGCTCACTTTTGTGGCTTTCAAAATGTAATCAGTCTGCTTCTCTAGAGAGGTAACTGATAACAGGTGACACACACACATACACACTTACACATAGGCCTACACACACACACACACACACACACACACACACACACACATTCCACACACACACATTGACAGAAGCTACCCACAGGTTGAAAAGAACACAATGTCTCCATATCACAGTTTCCCAAATAAAAGAACCTAGGTAATAAAACCTTTAAACATCGCCCTCTGGTGGTGTCTTAGAGGACGTGAACAACCTCAGTAACTGCCAAAGCATTTCAAAAGGATTTTTTTTTCAATCCCAGCAAATAAAACATTCATTTGTTTACTTGTTACTGTTATTGAGGGGATTCCAGGTGCAAAGAGTTGCATTTATTGGTAGTGATGGAAGACATCTGCAGAATAAACTCACAGTTTAGTTTGAAGTTCAGAGGAAAAAAGAAACCTGTGGTACACAAGAAGACTTCTAGCAAGGCAGATCAGTGGCATGAGGCTCAAGGGAAAGGTGCTGCATATGAAAGCAGCTGCACGAGGCTGTGCAACCGTTGACGTGTGCCGTGGGTGTTGGATTTGATGGGAGTGGCGTGACGCTGAGGGGCAATGAGTCAGAGTCAACGATAAGGACCTGGGGTTGTGACTGACCTCTCTCAACTGCTCGCCCCCCTCCTCCTCTTTTCTCTTCACATCTGGTTTTTTGCATGGGTATCCTTGTTTGTCTCTCTGTCTTTGTTTTTTTTAATTTGTTTTTACAGTCAATGACTCATAAATAACTCTTGCCTCCCTTTGTACCTTTGACTCCTTGCTAACATGAACATTTACTTTTATCACTCGCCTCACTTGATTCTTTCTTTTCTTTCAGACTCCTTTCTCTCACTGGTCAATGTCCCTTCTTCTACCCTGTGATCGGGTAGTGGAGCCTTTAGGTTTATCTGCCATTGGAAAAGCTCTGACTCACACAAACACACTTTATAGGTGATGACTCATTGCAACACAGGCCATTCACATCCACAATATGCCGAAGCAAAACTGGTACGTGCCAGTGTGACTGTGTTTGCATACACATTAACCTTTATATGCATTAAGGTGCTATTGCGCAGAGGGCTGGTGACACACCACCTACACAGCTTTTATCTCACACAGTCACGGAGATAATCAGTGTTGCTGTAAGGGAGGTTTTGTTAGCCCTCATATCTGTTAGACTGAAAATCTTGTCACTTGCTGGGCAGCTCCATGAATTTTTGCATTTGTGTGTATATTGTCAAACAGATAATGATATTAACTCACAATATGTGTGTGCGTTCGTATGTACAAGTCCAAAGGCTGAAAAGTATTCATCATGACACAAGCAGATGAGGAATGATAAATGTGTTGGGTGACTCATGCAAGACAGACACAGGAGCCATCAGCTGACACAGTGGCAGCAGCAGCCTCCACTGTGGCAGACAACACATACTGTACCCCCCACACATGCATATATATCCTGATAAACAGAGACAGAGTGGTGCATAATGTCCCCGGCTTCATTTGTACAACTTTTGCATGTCTGTGGAAGAGATGAGTCATTTTCAACTGCAGTCGTCACATAACTACTGTCACTTAGGCTGATTCACACTCTGAACAATTTCTAAAATAACAATCAACCCCTCTGCTGCCTTTTTTATGCAAAGTGACTGAGGGTACACCATGTACTTATAATAGAATGGCAACTCACTGGAACAACGCAAAATGTGCAACTTTTTTATTTATAAAGATGAATAACATATTAAAATGCACTGGGAGCTCCTGTACAGCTGAATATGTAATGTGCATTTTGGCATGAGTTATATAAAAATATGTAAGACATGAACTGGCTGGAGTTCCAAACACGTTAGTAAAGAACAGGTTCTCTTACAAAGCATCACACGACGGCAGCACACTGACAATACAATACTGCTCAGACCACCAGTGTGAGGTGATTTTGGCAATGACACGGCTTTTCATGAACATCATAAAACAATACTACACACACAGATAGACAAAAACTAAGGCAAATAAAGAAATTAATGTTCATCTGTGTCCTCCTCTTCGTCCTCGTCTTCCTCCTCCTCCTCAGATTCATCTTCATCCTCTTCGTCGTCCTCTTCCTCCTCCTCTCTTCTGGTCTGCCGACTGGAAGCTCTTTGTTGCTGTGACAACAAATAAACATGCAACTAAAACACTTAGCAGGTAGTGATTAAGCACAGTTTGTGCTCCTGTAGAGTTGTTTTTGTTCTGAACATGTCTGTGTCTTACTGGAGACAATACAGGTAAAGGTGTAAACACACCCTTAAATGCATCAAATTCCTCAGGTTACATTTGCATATTGGTGGTATTAGACTATACCTATATAAAAATTGCCCATGTTGAAGGACTGCCAAGTTCATGTCATGGTATGTGTATAATCTCGCAGTTTTCCTCTGTAGTTTTATCCAGTATGCAAATGAGGGCTGCGGTCAAATTGTCCTATTGTCTTTTCTTCAACACTTTTCCTTGAACTTGATAGAAAATGTCATGGCGTCAAGGAAAGATGTGAAGGAGAATTCCTAAGGACTTAGGAAAAGACCAAATGCACTTACACTAGGCTACATAATTATGCGACAATACATGTTGACGCAGGTTTTCTGACGTGGTAAAACTACAAAGTTCCAAAGATGAACTACTAAAAGCACAACGTAGTTCCCCCTGTGCGTTCTCCCCATGTTGTTTTGTGTAGGCTTCATAAACGTTGGCAAAAAAATATTACTTTGATACCAAGGTTGGAATTGAAATGAAAGAATTAAAGGCTACCAGTGACAAAAGTGAAACAAAATGGTTGTCATTTTGAGAGTGGTTGCTCACGCGAACTCTCCAGTCCACTCATATTTATCGACATGAATCATGAACCAATAACTATGACTGTATGTATTAGTATGAAGATAAGCTTAATGTTTGCTTTTGTAAATGGCCATTTATCACTTTATGTGTTGCTGCCACAGGAAGTACTGGGACAACATTATCCCATTTCCTTTGGTAAAGGATGGTCCAGTGTGCCCTTAAACTGACTGTGTTTACATGCAAACTAATGTTCCACTATTACTCCAAATATGACAATACTCTGAGTTTGATATGGGTCATATAAACAATATATTCTGTTTGGATATTCCTAATTAGGCCTCTTCCCGAATTTAGCATTTTCCAATTAAGACATATGGGATATGCTGGTATTTTTCAGGTTTTAATAGCATTGTTTGGACGTGTATACACCACAATCTGAATATGCGTCTGTTGCAGTTTGCAACACACTGCCACTTGTCTGTTTACGGTCATGGATATGTTGTACATGCACCAAGTAACCAACAGTTTTCAAGGCTGGGGGGTAAAGATGCATGCCCAAAAGAAAAGCGTACATTTCTGGTTGGAAGGAGAAACACACCTGCTTTCAAACATTATAAAATACTTGGACAGCAACAGGTTTTTTAATATGTGCAAATACTGCAAGGTGGCTGAAGGAATATAAGAGGGAGGCTGTGTTCGCACACTCCATCAAGTCTTCTACTGGTGGTTAACGTTGACGTGATAAACGACACATTGGGGAACATTAATCAAAGTATGCACGGCTGCACGTAAACAGGAGTGTTAGTGGAACATTCATTTTCATTAGCCATGTAAACGGCTTCGTAAGAATACTGTCTTTTTCACAATAAGGGCAAAAACAGAAGTACTTTGTGTATGCCAGAATAGTCACTGAGCACCTTTCCTTGCATTTAGAGAACTGGACCAGCTCGTCATGGCTGCTAGTTCCTAGGTAGATACTTCCTAGGCAAAAAATACCATTTGACAGTCCCTGCTATTCTAGCTGTATACCTGACATGCAAAACTCTTTTTGTTAAGCAGCGACTACAGATGACAGATAAAATCAAAACTAATCAAAGCAAAGTATGATCTCAAGTTGTGGTGAAAGATACCTTTGAGGCACATTCTCGTGACATGTGCTACTTACTTCTCAGCAAGCTACAATCTTGACATCTCTAGATACAAGACATAATGTCTGACACTACCCTTTGAGACCTGAGAAGACAGCTCTTCAAAGATATCAAATGATACTCCTCATTTATTGAGAGAGTGAAGACTAGCTGTTTGGACATTTAACAAGGCAATTCTTTAAATTTACAAGTTAGAGCAGTACCACTGAAGACGCTGGGGTTACTGGATGAAGGAGGAAATGCATAATGTCACCTGCATGCAATGACGTGTGAAGATTCAGACTGAATGATGGCTTGAAATGATACCGCGATATACACTTTGGCACGATTGATAAGACTCAGACTGTTCGAGCACCAGCCTCTACTGGCATGAGGAAGACTACTGGGTTCAAAAAGGGAAGAAGGGGATTTTTTTTTTTTTTTTTTAAATTACATCATAACAATGACATTTACGTAACTGTCAGACAGAAGAAAGCAATTCCATAGCAGAGACTTAGTCAAACAGGGATCTTCTGGGGAAATTCTAGGTTGTGTATTACAGCATCTATGCACTGTCTGTATCTTACCTGTGAGGTCCCTGATGTACTTAGGAAGGGCCCGGTCCGATCGAGGGAGGTTTTGGAATTAGCTCGCACTATGTCTAAGCGTGACTGGTAGTCAGGGGGGTGCAGCGAACTCCTGAACACCTGCCAAAGACAGTAGGCGCTATATTTTTCCAAAGAGAAACAGGAGAATGGAAGCAATGCCTACACACACACACACACACACCCATCTGTAATGTGCTCACTAAACATAATGCAAGATTAGTTTAGTTATGCTACGTAATACTTGGGGTATTTTATATAACAGGTATATACAACTTGAACACTCTACAATCTAAAACTTCCAGCACGTCACCAACTGGTAATCTTTCGTCTGGTCACACGTAAACAAAGCAGCTCAGCAGGTATGTCTCCGATAACACAGCAAACTGCCATTTAAGCCACACCACAAATAAATTCCACAAGCACTCTCAGTCAGGATTATCTTCATGCCTATCATTGTGCCTTTTTTTCGGATGATTCAATCTCCCATGCTTTGTGCTATGAGTCACTGAAAAACAGCCTTGTCTGGGTGAGGAGTTTCGCTTCAATATGAATGGAAGAGAGATGATTCAGTGCTAAAACACACAGATGAGATGGCGAGGGGTGGAGGAAAAATAGCACAAGGGCATCTGCAGGAGGAACCTCGCTCACTGCATATCACTGATCCTTTGTTTTCTCACTACAGGCTTTGTCTCTTAAAATAGTAAAAGCAAACCTCTCAGATTGAACTGCAACAGAGGACAGTAGCTCGCATGACTCTGAACTGTGGAGAGTTCACCGCAGGATAGTTCAAAGTTACCACATGAGTTGGATGGTGTGGACTCAAGAGTATGTGTGAGTAATGAGTTGATGAGTAATGAGTGCATAAGACCACAATTTCTTATCAAACTTGTTGAATATAACTAACAGGTTAATCAAGTGCTCAGCAGAGGGTGTACATGGAGACTGATCAGCTTTTAGCACTACTACAGTGACATTTAAATATCCAGAGTGTGTGTCAGTGACAAAGTGATTATGTCAGGTCAATGATTACACCTAAATTCACATTTTCAAATATCTCCTACGCACAAACACAGTAGCAGGCTTATTAGAACGTCTGGGCCATCAGCCTACCTCCAGGTCTTCCTCCTCATCCACACTTTGAATGCTCTGATAGGCCAAGGTGTACAGCTCCAAGGCCTTCGCGTGGAACGACATCTCCACCGTCACAAACTCACAAAAGATTTTCTAAAAGGGGGAAAGACATGGATAATATTTCAGTCCTGAGTGGGCTTTGAAACTATTTAAATGAATCACACAACTACCTGATGGCCACAAGACATGACAAAGAGTTCTGAAATGACAAAACAAGAATAGCTTCAAACAACTGGAGGAGGATTAAGAGGTGTGGGCAGGTGTCAAAAACAACCGCCAATGTCATCACTGTCTGGTTTCACTTCACTGTCACCCACTGCTTCAACAGACATGCAGTATATTTCCAACCACTGAAACTGAAGTTCTTAATTTGAGGTGGGTAGGAAGCTCAGCGCAACAGACCTTGATGTCGCGAATCTTCTGCTTCTCAAACTCGTATATGATCTCCTCCAGCTGCCTGGTGATCCGTGTGGCATCCATGGTGGCTTTCTGGAGCTCAGTCTCAGCCTTATGGAAGAACAAGTTTGAGAAAAGCAGCAGAGTATATTAACATAGTATCAACAGTATTCCTTTGTGCTTGTTGATTTAAGCAGTTAGAAAATAGATATGTGATACCCAACATACCCAAGATATTGACATGCTGATGTGCTCCTTTAACATGAATGGAAAGTAATAGGTCGACACTAATATCTCGTGTGTGCAATTTAACATAATTACCTCCGCCAAGGAGGTTATGTTTTCGCCGGCGTTGGTCTGTTTGTTTGTCTGCAAAATAACTCGAAAAGCTCTGAACGGATTTTGATGAAATTTTCAGGAAAGGTTGATAATGGGACAAGGAACAGATGATAAGAAGTGGATAAAATAATAAAATGGCGGGAAATCCGTGCTGCTTGGTGGAGGTCTGCGCTCTCCGAGTGCTCTAGTTTAATATAAAATGTGGAGCTGCAATGATTAGTTGATTGACAGAATATTAAGTGGCAACTATTTTAACTTTTTAAAGCAAAAAGACAAACACTTGCTGGTTTCATTGCTTCTTAAATGTGAGAATTTGATGTTTTTATGTGTCATGCATGATAATAAACTTTGTTTTTGTTTGAAGATGTCACCTTGGGCTCTGAGAAATTACCCATTATTTACTATTTTTTTCTTTTACATTTCATTGACAATATTAACCAAGAATGAATGGGTAGATTAATTGATGAAAATAACTGTTTGTTTTAGCCCTTATAAAATGAGCTGCTTCTATTACCTTCAGTATCTACAGGTGCTGCAGGCTGGCATGTGTATAAGGCCGGAGTTATACTTGGTTTTTATCTTTGCAATCACATGCGCTAGATCTGTCTGCATCATTGGCTGTGCACGTTGTCAGGAATGAATTCAATGTGTCCGCAAGACGGGCGGCACGGTGGTGTGGTGGTTAGCACTCTCGCCTCACACCAAGAGGGTTGCCTGTTTGGTCCCGGGCGTGGGAGCCCTTCTGTGCGGAGTTTGCATGTTCTCCCCGTGTCAGCGTGGGTTCTCTCCGGGCACTCCGGCTTCCTCCCACAGTCCAAAGACATGCAGATTGGAGACTAGGTTAATTGATAACTCTAAATTGTCCGTAGATGTGAATGTGAGCGTGAATGGTTGTTTGTCTCTATGTGTCAGCCCTGCGATAGTCTGGCGACCTGTAGAGGGTGTACCCTGCCTCTCGCCCGATGTCAGCTGGGATAGGCTCCAGCCCCCCCCCGCGACCCTCAAGAGGATGAAGCGGTTAGAAGATGAATGAATGAATGAATGAATGAATGAGTGTCCACAAGATGCAATATGCACTTGAACAGTAGAGGCAGTGTTGGCATTACAAGAGGAGCATACTCGCTTTGACATGATGTGTTTAATACATACGATCTATGATGGCGACACTGTTGCCTTTTCTGCTGTGATCTGCTGGGAACTCAGAATTAAGAATATAGTAACCTCCTCGAGTGTCACCATGTTTATTGTTTACTGTTTACATCATGCAAATCTGGAATATCTATTTGGTCTGAATTTCTCAAGCATGCCCTCTAATGGTGTCCTCCAGCAACATGCCTAGTATGTAGTCAAGTGTGTGAACTATCCTGTTCAAGACACAGCCAGTTGTATTCGCAAACACTTGGTGTAAAAGCAAGTATACCTCAGGCCTAACTGGTCCAAAAATGACTAAACACCTTCTTCTTGTGGAGAAACTGGAGAGGGGTTTTGTGAGTTTATAGGTTTGTGATAGAGATAGAAGTCATTCCCATGATGGGCTTCACATCTAATTAAGAGTAATGTTAAATCATTTGTAGCCATCACTGCATTTGACAACCACGCATTCATTTAACTGTGGTCAAAACACAACTTTTAATATTTTGGATGGTTTCCTCCATTTAAGAGCAATTCTGAAATGTGTTTAATCTTTGCGGTCATACATCACCAGTGATGAGATCCACAGATTACATGGGACATACCTGGGACTGAAAGCTTGGTCAAGGAAACACCCAAAACATATTAGCAATGGGGTATGAACTGTTATAACATCAAATGGATGAGAAGTTTATTTTCCTCTTGCAATATTAATTCTTATCTACAACTAACAAGGAATTACGCTGTACCCAATATGTCACCTGTACTAGAAAGTACACAGGTGGTTCTTGTGACATTAGAAGTCTGTTGTGTGTTTGATATTAGAGTATTTGAGAAACAAGGCAAGGATACAATGATATGCCTGTCTGAGGGGTTCCTCTGTCTGGTCCTCTCAAGCTGAGCCATCTGTTTGGCTTCTCTGTCTCTGGCACTCTGAGTCATCTTCAGATCCTCCTGCATGGATGCACGAACATACAAGGACAAAGTGGTCATTATGAGAATGAGAGTCAATTATTTAAAAATTTGTGTCCGGACATAATCTAACAAACGTTTGGTGTAGCTCAGCGTTTCTGGATCAGGATCTCAAGTGCACCCTGTTGTGCAGGTCTTTGTGTTGCCTTTACGCTGAAACAGTTGGAATGAAATAATAATGAAGGATATATTGTTTCACCATTGACAAAATCAAATACAGCCAAGTTCACTTTTTTAATGACTAAATAGCTTCATTTAGCTAGACCTAATTATATTTTGGCACGCTCACTCTGCCTGTACAGCAAATGATCAATCGGATTGTTTATTTTAAACAAACTAAGATGTGTCTTGTGTGTATTTTGGCACGTACTTTAAATCCTGGCAAATCTGCAGTTTGAAAGTATTGTAGTTTTAACAAAAAGATGACAAAAAAGAGGCACTTTTAACAGTACTTTGCAACAGTGGTCCTCTCAAACTGAGCCATCTGTTTGGCTGGACAACACGAGGCTACATGAATAATTTATGGCAACACTATACGTGAGAGACTCCAAAAGTCACAAAGAAACAATAGATTTGATACGTTTTTTTAAGAAGAACTCTCTCTTTAGTGATGTACTATGCAGGACTTTACTAAAATGCAATGTGTAGACTCATACAGAAGTAATCCCTCTCAGTTATCACTTATGACCCACTACAAGTGTGTGGTGGTGTATTTTTCTGCAGAGACTCTGCTCTTTGCCTGTGTTTTATTATTTTCTTCTTATTTTCTGTGTTTGGGACATTTATGAGTGTGTACCCCCACAGCGCTCACATGAGGTCAGAGCTTTATAAAAGGGTAGTGACCAGGTGCAAGACTGTAAGAGACACACAAGAGTTAATTTGGGGTCGGCTTTTACTTTCATTGATGCCTGGCTTTACAAACAGTAGCTGACAATCCTGCGCAGTATATCTGTCATCCTGGACAAAACAAGAAGCTGAGAGGAGGGATACTGACAGTGTCACAAAGAAATGCAGCTGTACCAGTGGGATATTATCACCAAATCAACACCGCCCTCGTGTGGCCTACGGTGGTAATAACAGACAGTATATTGCCTTGTGACCCAAACTAACCCCTTAAACCTCATTTCTCACTTTGGTAACACAGTGACTGCATCCTTATAGGCCAGAGCACATTTAATCTTGAAAAGTGTAATCCAAAAATCTGCAGTCATTTAGATGGAATGCAAACACAGGTTATATGAAGAGGGACCAAGGCAGGAAGGAAGGTAAATAATGTCATCATAATGTCTTCAAGATTTCTTGAAGTTTCTCTTTGAGGAGTCATTTCCCTAACTTCAGAATAATTGTAACTGGAATATGGATTGAACTTTGTCATTGCCATTTGGCTCATTCTGAGTCAGTGCAGACATCAAGAGCAACACTCACCCTTTTACGTTTGACCACAGCTCCGTAGCTTTTTAACGGCTCTACGACTTTGGCTTCAAGTCTTTCCACCTGTAAGGCAAGTAACATCACATTAGGTTCCAGCAAATTCATACTGTAGATGTGAACGTGAAATAATGATTAAAGTCAAAGAAGCAGGAAATAAAATACTGTAGTTTTACCTCAGCTTGGCGGTAGTCTTGAATTTTGGCCAGGTGGTCAGCAAACTGCTTCATACCCCTCTTCAGGTCTGGTGTTTCTGTGTCTGCGTACATACCAATCTCCTTAACCAGCACATCCGACTTGTCCCTTAGCCTGGCTGTTTTACGCACATAGGCAGCAAACAGTTGGCACATCTCTCCAAAATGTTTCTCCACATTGGTGATGTTTTCCTGGATCTTTTTGGTCTGGTTGTCCCTGGAGAATGACAGACAACAATCACAACAGTAATCAAATACTGTATAGGGAAGATATTTTAACTGAGGGTGTTTTCACACTTGGTCCTTTTCGGCCCTCTGAACAGACTCAGAGCTGTGACTTAGCATTTTTTGCACATATGTGAACACTCCAAGAGAACTCAGACCCCTCTGAAGCAAATGATTCGGTTCACTTCAAGTCTGTGGTGCGGTTCACTTAACCTGTGCTTGTGAATACAAAGGGCTCCAGGTTTGCTTTGCTCTTTGCCATTGTATTTAGCCCTCTAGATCACATGCTGTTGCACTGGGATGCGTGAAAAAACAGACGAAACCTCGTCGGCCTATAACGCTTGCAAGGACGCAGGATGAAGAGTAGTTTGGTCCACGGAAGATACTGCACGTCTCCAGATGTGGAATGTAGAATACATCAAATGGCAACAGTCTACAGCACACAGAGACACAAAGGTTCTCCTCCAGTTTTAAGTTCATCTGAAAGTGAGGGGCTTCATAACCACAGTGCTGTGCCACATCAAAGTAAAAACAAAACTATATCAATATACACCGATAAGCCAAAACATTAAAACCATTGGTGGATGAAATGAAAAACATCGATCATCTTGTTACAGTGCAATATTCCTTTGGGGAATCTTGGGTCCTGGCATTCATGTGGGTTCAACTTGATTTGTGCTCTACCCACCTGAAGACCACTGCAGACCAAACAAACCCCCTCATGGCAACGACACTTATCGATGGCCACGCCACAAAAAGTTTTTCTGGTGTGGCATGGCGTACTGTCCTGCTAGGGGGCCAATGCTGCTGGGGACTGCCGTTGCCATGAGGATGGTATCTGGTCTGCACTGGTGTTTAGGTGGGTGGAGTCTGTCAGGTGGTATCCACATGAATGTCAGAACCCAAGGTTTCCCAACAAAACATTGCACTGTAACAAGATGATCAGTGTTGTTCACGTCACCTGTCAGTGGTTTTAATATTTGGGCTATAGTGTGAACAGAAAGAGGACTGAGGCCCCATCAGAGCTGAAGTTGACCAGAAAGAGAACTGAGTCCTCTTTGAAATTAACTGTCCTCTTTGAAACGTCCCCTTTCTGTTGGTCCACTTTTTGGTCCACTTTCAGAGGACTGAGTTCAGTTCATTTAAAAAGGACTATATGAAAACACCCTGATTTTTCTTGCACAATAAGTCAAATGAGTTTAAATAATCTAACTAAAGTTCATCTCTGTGTAGCAGCATATTGTGGATGTGATTTACAGTGTTTTGTTTTCCAGATTTTTTCATCATCAGTAATAACACAGACACTAAGCCAGCTGAGTGTATTAAACCCCTATTTCTTCAGGGTATCGTTAGCATTTGAGTTTTGTTCTGAGGACTGAACTGAATCCGTTTTAGCGGCTTGAGACAAGTCCGTTTGGGGATCATAAACACATCATGGTCCTCTAAAGGCGTTTGGTGTTTACACCTACTAATATAAAGAGTTAACTCGTTTCCCAGCTGTATGTGCAATTAGTATAGAGCGTTAAAATATAAGTTAACTAACTATGTAACCCATGATATCGTCGCTGCTCATGTGAGGTTCGTTTTTGTCAACGCTAACGGTAATTAACGGCAGTAACTTAGTCCTCTTGTAACTACCGTTAACGGACGATTTAGTTTAACGCAGTGTGTCTCTTACCTCGCTCTTGCATCCGGTGTCCGGCTCATCTTCGCAGAAAGGCAGTAAATGAAATGTGTTCTGTGTTAAGGCAAGTTTATCTGGAGCCAGATTTAACGCAAGCTAGCTTACTGTGCTTGTTTTTCAAGCTAGCACGCCAGTCTGCCGTTTCCATGGAGTTCCCGGCATTTCCGCTCGAGCAATGCATTCTGGGAGATTGAGTCGTTGGTTGACTTCACCTTTTTCTCTTCTTTCTCAAGCAAGCAAACAAACATTCAGCTCTGAGCTCAGTGTGAGGCAGCACAGTTTGTTTTGACAGTTTTGGTGTAATGAAGCAGCATTGGAAGGTAATTAAATGCATTTATTCAAGTACTATAGCCAACATACTTAAATAAATGTAGGCTATGTGACTGTGTACTGAATTTTACGGCACCATACCTGTGTTACTCGAGTTCTCTTATTTTATGCAAATTTACACTTCTACACCAGTACCTCAGAGAAAAAATACTGCACCTTTTACCCCACATTCACCAGAGATCTTTAATTAGTAGTTTCTCAGCAGATCAGGATTATACATATACAGAGCATATAATCAACATTATGATGATGAAGATGATGATGTATAGTGATCGAAAAAAACAGCCAAACAGTAGGGGAGACTGGGGGCAATTGTAACATTTACCAGTTTTGATACCATTACTCAAAAACCTCTTAAGCTACATGAAAACATTTTTTAATGTAGGTAACTTGTATCTGTGTTCTCCGTGTTGACAGTCATCAGTTATTTACAAGCAATGTTAGAGTCTTGTTACACCTGCCCCCACTTGCAAGGGTGATTGTAACAGCATATGGGGGCAATTCTAACGACACACTTAGTATCTTTATATGAATACCAACGACAATAATAAACTTCCAAGAATGTAGATATAGATAAAACTATGTGATATCCACAGAACAATTAATTTCAGTTTAATTAAAATAGTAATCATGTAAAGTATGAGACATCAGTTTGTACCAGACCATGTTGATTGGTGCGATTTGAGATGTCACAATTGCCCTCAGATTTCCCTATAACGTAGTCAAAATTATGCTATGTCCACCTTGATCAATACAAATAAAATGCTAACCAAATCATATTTTAACACTTACAGCACCTGTATACAGTATATGGGCCACTCTGTATACTCAGTACTTTTTTTAACTATTTTAAATTGGACTGTACTGTATTGATATAACATTTTTGTCCAAAACTCTTTACAATGTATTTCTTATTCACATACACAGGTGCTGGTGGAGCTGTCATGCAAGGGACTGGCTTAGCATTCAGCGTCTTGTTCAGTGTCAGTAGGAGCTGAAGATTGAATCGCTAACCTGCTGGGCAACAGGTAGGATACTGTACCTTTAAACTGTTAAATTTCAAATGCAGGACTTATATGTGTTATTTATTATTTTTACAGTGTGGTTATGTGAGTAAGCATCTGAATACTTCCTTTAGTTCTATTAGGAAATACCTTTGGCCCTTACTATGAAGTCCATACAAGATAATCTGTGATAAGACTGACCAGACCAGAACAGTATAGGTGCAAGTCTAACATTCTCTGGAAGTTTGCTCCAGTTTTGTGGTGCACCATGCTCCATGTTTAGTTTGTACTCTAGGAAACAGTTTGCAGCCCTCTACCTGATGACCTGAGAGACAGAGAGCATTCATATGTCAGTCGTAGACAAGCAGCAGTACTTTAAACTCTCTTCTCTGACACACTGGAAGCCAGTGAAGAGACCTGAGAACTGGTGTATTCAGTTTTCCTGGTCTTTAGGTCTCTGGCACCAGCTTTCTGACTGAGCTGGAGTTGTCTGAGTCTTTTGGGGGAGACCTGAGAAAACAACATTACAGTAATCTGACCTGCTGGAAGTGAAAGCAAGGATTAGTTTCACTGCCTGGAGTCATGGTGTTATCCAAGGCGCTGCTGTCAGTAGTCCAAGTTACTGTTTGGGGACTGAAGGCAGTTGAAAGTGGATGATGATGGCCCAGATTTTTGGTCATAAATGATCCTCCTGATGAATGTTGAAACTAAATTAAAAAATCCTCTCAATTATTTAGTTGTGACAGGGAGCCACCTTTTAAACTCAAGGGTTAAAAAGTAGTAAAGTAGCACAGTAGGAGAGCAGACCATAAACTTGTCTTTGTTATCAAGCCAAAAAAGCTATAAAGCTGTTATGAAATCTATAATACTGTGTCATGCCCATTAGAGATTTTAACTAAAATATCAAACAAGTAATTTGATCCTCACCATGGTTTCTTTCCTGGGTAATAGCAAGTTAATATCCTGGCTGCTGGAAAAAAACAAATATTTGGCTGCTTTCTACGGCTTCTATAATTCCCCAAATAGATCAAGGTACATTGCCTACATTGCAACAAAGAGGGCCACAAATAGTCCTTTTCAACAACAGCTTGACTGCTTTTGAACTGGTGCCAAGAGCAGACTTTGTGATCACTGAAATGAATGGAGGCCTCATTGTAATTCCCTCCTCTGTGTTTGGGAATGCATGAATGTCACCAGCTGCCACGTCTGCTCCTCTGTGGAAAATGTCCAAAAACCTTAATTATCACGCTTAATCATCCATGGGATTGAAGCAGGGGAGATCCCACTGTAACAGATTGGCGATGTAAAACACGGTCATTGCATTGAGCTGTGTGCCTGGAATCCCAAGAGGATCTGGTTTATACTCTGTGGTGCAGCTGATGCTGGTATAGATTCAGTTTTTTTTTGTTAAATACTTTTCATATAACCTTCCTCTGCTGTGGCTGATGGGTCATTACATTTTTGTCTTTGACAATTTAATAAAAAATACCAACAAATTGTGGTTTAATGGTGTCCTACATTGCTTCTCACACAGTCAAGCTTGTGGTGCACCTGCAGCCCCGGACATCTAAGGGCATCACAGACCTTTTATTGCTCAATCTCGTGTGGCTGAACGGCACTTAACCCTCTAAGAAGTTTGACGCCAACCGCATAGGCTGCGTAACTAGTTAGCATGCCAGAGTCTCGTTCGTTATCGGAATTAACCAGACAAATCACTCCACCAACTAAGAACGGCCATGCATGCACCACCGACAGAATCGAGAAAGAGCTATCACTCTGTCAATCCTTTCCGTGTCCGGGCCGGGTGACGTTTCCTGTGTTGAGTTAAACTAACCCGCAGGCTCCACTCCTGGTGGTGCCCTTCCGTCAATTCCTTTAAGTTTCAGCTTTGCAACCATACTCCCCCCGGAACCCAAAGACTTTGGTTTCCCGGACGCTGCCCGGCGGGTCATGGGAATAACGCCGCCGGATCGCTAGTTGGCATCGTTTATGGTCGGAACTACGACGGTATCTGATCGTCTTCGAACCTCCGACTTTCGTTCTTGATTAATGAAAACATTCTTGGCAAATGCTTTCGCTTTCGTCCGTCTTGCACCGGTCCACGAATTTCACCTCTAGCGGCACAATACGAATGCCCCCGGCCGTCCCTCTTAATCATGTCCGCCCTGATGCTGAATAAAGAATGTTTAAATGAATTCTCTGGAAAAAAAGTTTGAATTTTGATTCATCAGCATCAAGCTAATTTTCACAGTAAACTTTATTGTCATTGAAGACCATACATATGTAGAAATTGTTTTTATGATAATGTTGTCAAAAATATTGATTTACTAATATATCAATTCTGAATATTTGAAACCGTTTCAATACTCATTTTCCCTAGTATTGGTACTATCAATACTACTTGCTCATGCTTGCTCTCTATCTGGCAGCAAGTTCACACACACACACACACACACACACACATGCATCACTGCAGTGCCCCCACAGACCCGCCTCCTCTCAGTCACTCACAGTGCTGTCTTCTTGTCACTCGTCTCATTCGCTCCAAGTACATAGGTTATAGTTTTTTTCAGGCACAGTTTTTTTTTTTTTACTTGCACTTTATTGCATTTTTAATGTGTGACAGTCTCACACACAAGAAAAATATTGTTGTTATTCATGTAAAAAAGTTTTGATTATTGTGAATGTTTGCTACAGTTCTGCTTTTCGTTGATGTCCTGTTATAGCCTCTTTATAATTATCTTTTTACAAAAATGTATTTACATTGTATGCCCTCAATGTCAATTTTTCCCCTGGTGTTGAAAATAGTATAGAATATCGATATTTTTTAAGGTGTTACTGTACATGGAACTAAGAAATACTAAAACTGTGACTAGATGCGTCACATTATGTTTTACAGTCAAAAATTATCCCTCTGAATTTTTGTATGTCAGTATACATAGGCGGATTATGACACAGTAGGCCCCTGGGCCTCGGCGTGTATAAGCCCCTCCTCAGGCAGTGCAGATACAACATGTGGTTTCTCCCTACAGAGTTGAAAGGCCCATGTTGCATAGAGGTTCTTAGCCCCTCTAAATACCTGTAGATAAACTGAGGAGTTGGAAACACTCACTTGAAACGTATCATGATGGTTTCTTTCTTGTGAAATCTTAAAAGTGTTAAGGCTATTCTGTTACTGACATAAGCCCTTTGCACAGAAATGCCAAGTTAGCAAGAGTGACTTTACACAGAGGTTCTGGCTTACTGGCCCCCTGAGCCTTTGGGCCCCTGGGTCTGGGCCCATTAGGCCCATTTGGTAACATACCCATGCAAATACACAAGGCAGTACAAGTGCAGTAAGCAGAGCCCACAGACAACGCAGACCATCTCAGCATCTTCAGTGTGATTGCATTACTCAACCACATGGTGGCAATCTGCTTCCATTCGTCACTTCGCCTGAGCTCCAAGTAGATATTTGCATGGTTACAGGTGGACTCTGAGCTATTTGTGAATCATTCCTTCAAGCGCACTGACTCACGTCTCTCCTCACTGTCTTCATCATCATATGTTTACATTATTCAGCAGTCCCTGGCACTAACCCAGGATTAGATTCAGAATCCCCAAACATTATAACAAATATAACAGATGCCTGTCTAGCCGGTGTCCTGCAGGATCTTTGTGTTGAAAGAAGCCCGGGGCTGTTGAGTTATTTGCGTTGGCTGCTGGTAAATGTATTCAGGAGTGGTGGCATCTTTTTAGACTGTGCATCTGACTTTCTTAAAGAACAGATGGTGTTGTTTCCAAACTACCAATTAGCAAGGAGAGGG